AATGGTATCTTGAATGTTCTTGCCCTGTCGTCTCCCATGGGACGGCTGCAGGGCGTCCCGTGGAAGTGCCCTGGTCACTGCCTACAGCTGCCCTGCACACAGCGCCGCCTCCCTGCCCACCTCCCCTGCGAGGCGGGGAGCCTGCCGACTAGGCAGGGAAAGGCGCGCTCCACCGCCTGAGACTCCAGGGCAGTCAGGCCCGCACGCAAGCTTGCTCTACTCTGTTTCCATCTTTTCCTCGCTGCCCCGCACCACTCACAGCGCAGCCAAGAAGGGGAAACGGCGCATGCCCAACTGGTGGATGGCCAACAAACGAAATGTGGTCTGTCCACACGCCGGACGCCCCTCAGCCAAGACAGGAATAAGTGCTGCTGGTGCATGGTATGAACCTGGAAAACACGACGCTCGGTCACAGCAGCCAGCCACAAACGGCCACCGTGTTATACAATTCCATCCACACGAAATGTCCAGGACAGGCAAATCCCTAGAGAAGAAAAGCAGACTAGGGCTGTGGGCACTGGGGGTGACGGCTAAGGTGTGAGGTTCTTTCTGAGGTGATAAGAATGTCCGAAACGCACTGTGGTGACGGTTGCACAGCTGTGTGAACGTACTAAAACCACCGAAAACAAGGACGGAATCCGCGGCATGTGCGTTAAACCTCAGTGAAAACGCCCCTGACGTCCAAGAGGCCAAGCTGCCCTGTGCCCCTCCCTCGAGACCCTGCTTGGACAGCCACAGAAAACCCATCTCGGGCTCCTCCGCTCTCCGGCCTCCTGGAAGTCCCAGGCCTTTCCCCAGGAGGAGGAAGGGGTGGGGACGGCGGCCGGTCTGCTGAGAGGCCGAGAGCCCCAATGCAGAGGGGAGGGACACGTGCGCTTACTAGCCCCCGCCCGCACTCACACGCGAGCAGCCTGGCACAGGCGCCGTCTCACCACGGCTGCCCGTGGAGGGCGGATCGGCCAGCCCTCGCTGTCCAGGCAGCGGTCAGCAGCGACCGGGCTTTCAACAGTGAGATATTCTGTAGAGATCACTGATGTGGACCCTGTCCCTGTCCCTCTGCGTGATCCAGGCTCCCAGCTGTGAGGTGTTTCTGCGGTAGCAAGGAGAGACAGAGGAGGAGACGCCCGGGGACCAGGAGCAGGCCTTGGCAGGAGGGGGATCCTTTTGCTGCGTAAAAGGAAATGAGGAGATGACCCTTAAAAAATCTCTGACGCCACAAACCCATTGGGGAAGAGGCTTGGCTGTGGTCAGAGACTCCACGATCAGGTCGGACTACAGAACCAACGGCAGACTTTGCTTCCAAGTCTGTCCCTAAGGTACCGCTCCCCAACTGCCCACTGGGTGGGGTCCACAAGACTGTCCCATTCCCAGGGACAGACTGCCCAAGACCCCTACTAGTCAAATAGGAGACAGAGTAAATGACGTGTGTCAAAACCCCATGTAATGAATTCAGACATCACAAAAGTTAGATAAGTCCACGGATAAACCACGTTACATGAGGCTGATCAGTATCAGGTATTCTCAAAAAAGAGTCCTAATCTTACATATAAAGCTATGGTTGGAGTTTTCGTGTTTTTTTAAAAAATTATATTATAACTTCTTTTCTTTTTTTTTCTTTTCTCAGGTCCTGAATTTCAGTGGAACAACTATGGTTGGAGTTTAAATTCATACATCAGAAATCAGAAGCCCCTATACCAGAGGTTTAAAACCATTGTTTTAAAGGAGTAAAAATAACTTTTATCCAATAAAACCCCATATGGACCACTAACACCTGGCTGCGCACACCTGCGGCCCCTGGGCATCTCCTTGGAGCTCTGGGGGGCCTGGTCTGGAGGTGGCTGGCGGCTGAGCTGCAAGGAGCCATGCAACTGGCCCCAATGCCCTTCCCGAACCAGGAGATGTCTCAGAATTCAGAGAAGCAGCCTCAAACCCACTATGGAGGCTGAACCACGTGGCCCTCAATACCCGGGAACTAAGAGCAGTGCACTGTGGTGGGTCTGACCTACCTTCACTCTCGGCCTAAAGGCAATCTGCTCCTGTCACTTCCCTCTCTGTGCACTGTGCCTACACTCTAAGCTGCCTCGCTTCCACCGTAGCAACAGCCCATACCTGGTGACAGCAGCAATTATGGTCCTCCCTCTCTGCCTTGCAGGCGGGCTGGGCCTTTACCTTTACCTGCCAACTGAGCGCAATTGTTTGCTCCACACCTTAGCAGAGACATAACAATGAGAGGACTAGACAGTGAGAAAAAACATCTAACCTTTACCCCAAAGAAGTTAAATTAGGGTCAAAACACAACTGAAAAGATTTAGTAAAGTGGTGAAATCTAGAACCCAGGCCTCTCGGCTTTCAGTCCATCCTTTAAAGAAACGAAATATCTGAACTGGAAGGGATTTTAGAAATTACCTAGCACAATCTCTTCACGTGAAAGAACAGCCCAACGGGATGATATTTTCCATCCGTATACACGAGATCACTGCTATTTAAGCAATGCTTATTCTCCAGTTAAGACACGAAAAATGCTACCAGCCTGAATCCAGGAATTAACAGAAACCTGAGGTTACACAGACAAGAGGCCCGTGGCCACAGTGTGTAGGGCGCGGGGAGCACGCGTGGGGAGCACTCACGGGGTCGGTGAGCATGGTCCGCAGGTGGGACGACAGGGCGAGCACGGCCAGGCAGTTGAAGATGACCCCGTTGACCACGGAGTACCAGAAGTCTTTGGAAGGCAGCAGCATGACAAACGTCACCACGAAGTCTGCATAGACGACCAGAAGCCACGTCATGACGGCGCAGATCATGCCACAGCCGTCACGGATGAACCAGACCCTGTCGGCCACGTCGGCCTCGGAGGAAGAGGAGGACGACGAAGAGTCATAGTTGTCGTTTTCAGTGAGGAGAGGATGATGCTCAACGTCGCGGAGCCTGTGTCCTGATGGCTGCATGATTTCCCCGGCACGCCCTGGAGAGGGGTCGACACAGGGCTGGTGAGGCTCACGGAGAACACACACACTCACACGCAAAGCTCACACGCGTGCACACGAGACACCTCAAATGTAAGGCTGCAGTTTGCCCTTGGGCATTTTACGTTAGTCTAAATATACCTGGCAGAAAAGAACCCGAAAACTTAACTAGTTAAGATTTGAATTTTTAAGCCTTTCACCCGACGACTGTCTAAACCACTGTCTACTACACGGTGAGTCCCACAGCACTGGCTATGCCTACGTATATCTTGTCACCTGCAGCCAGCCACATGCAAACCAGGACAGCGAGACGCGCAGCTGGACGCAAAGTCCCAGCACCCAGGCTCCTGCAGGGACAGGGACCCTGCTGTGCCGCTGCCGCGCCCACTCCACCGAGCCCCGGCCCGGGCCCGTCTGCGCCCCGGCCAGCAGCTCACCTCACAGTGCTCCCGAGCACCGAGTGGCACAAGGAGGAAGAGTGAGTGGATGGGTGGTCTCCACTCCTTTCTCCACCGGCTCTCACACACTGGGCTCTGAGCTCCTGCCCGCACTTCTCTGCGGCCATGTTTTTGCAGCAGGCTCCTGCTTTTATCTGTTTCTTGACTCTACACTCTTTCTAGAATGCCCCTTCACCTCAATTTTAATCTTTTTAAAGTCTCCTTTATTAATCCATTCTTCTTTAACCTCTTCTTTTGATACCTTTCCCTTATTTCCTAGACCATCTGCCTTCCGAGAACATGCGGGGTCCAAAGAAACTAAATAAAAAGTTATATTTTTCCTGGTAACTGTTTTGACAGCTTTTTAAAATGCACCACCTTCTCTTCTCGGTGTCTGATGCACGAGTTGTGATGCTCGTGACAACAGAGAGCAGGGAGAGGGGTCACGGTTGACTGTGTCTCAGCTTTCTCACAGGGGAGAGAACACAGACGAGCATTTCAACAACTGACCAGAAGCTCTGCTCGTCTCGACAGACGGTGAGAGAAGGTGGCTTTTCGATGCGAAAAAGGTGTGATAAGAATGCTCTCAGCTGATCAACTGCAGTCTTTCATACTTGGGCGCGACATTTTTCTTCCTTAAATGCAACTGGAACGTGGCAAGTATGAAAACATTTAATAAATGAACTTGCTGATGAGAGCTCATACCCTAGGTACTCTGCAGAAGTCCCTCTCGATATAAAAATACTGACAGGCACAAGAGAAAAATGAAATTATCTTCCAAAGTCATTAAAATATCCCTACTCTTGAATCAGATAAAATTGGCCTTAAAAAAATGTTTAATTGAAATAGAAGACATTAAAGCGCAAAAGACTTTGGACAGGCCTTAACCCACTGTTCTTCCAGCTAGCGTTTACCGAACTCTTCCAGATCCGTGTGTCAGCTCCTGCAAACCCTGTGCGGAGTCGACCGCCTCTGCACAAGCCCCACGGAAAGGGGAGTTCTTCCTCCGAGCAGCACTTGGAAAGGGGGTCTCTAAACGTCACATGTATCAAACTATCTACAGACTAAGACTCAAACTGCTTCTGCCTGTAACACTTGGAAAGCCGGGTTCTGTCGGGAGGCTGAGAAAGTATCTGGATGTTGCTCTGCCTCCCCTGAACTCTCGGGCACACTCACCAGCTCTCCGTCCAGTTACCACTTTCCACCTGGGGGAACTTTCGCACATCTGCCTGCCCGGGGTCAGCCCTGCTAGGGAGGCTCTGGGTCTCCGCCTGTGCTCCGGCTCTGTGCCTGCCTGCTGCCTGGCACACAGCAAGGACGTGCTTGTTTAAAGGCAGACGCAACAAAAACAAAGTGGTCCTTCACTCAGATTCAAATACCCTCCTAGTAAATTCCCTGTAAGTTTCTCAGTGAATCACGACTGTGGGCTTAAATACATCAAGGCCTTAAGCTGGAAAATTCCTCTGACCAGAGCCACTTCACTCACGGCCACTTCTCAAGCAGGATGTGCTCTATGAGAAAGGGGAGCTGGCTTGCTAGGCAGCGAGCCAGCAAGCAGCGCCTGTGGCAGCGCGCTTGCGCAGTCCCAGTTCCGCACAGAAAGCAAGGGCCTGCGGGTTTTCTAAAGCCACCGTGCCAACACCTGGGCCAGTTCCGCTCAGCCTTCCTGGTCCAGGCCGTGGTGGGAGCTGCCGTGGAGAGCAGGACGCGGCCCACGGTGACGTGCCTTCACCCGGGGGTGCAGGCGGCAGGTACGTTTGTGTAAGGAGAGCGGCCACAGAGACGCCAAACCCTGGTCATGGCAGGACATTCCTAGAAGTGCACACTAGTGATGTACAATGCTCGAGTGCTGTAGTGACAAATCTGGAAGACCCACTAGAAGTCAATAGGAAAATAATCCGAGAGCCAGAAATCACTTGTTCTCAAGAAAGCAGTCAACAGACACAGCAAGGTCAGCCGGGACAGACTGAGTCCCCTGCGGTGAAGTGCAGGGGCATCTGCACTGTGTTTACACTTCATTAACGCAACAGGAAGGAGGGAGGAAATGAAGAAACCACCCCTTCACTTGCGCCTAATCTAAAAATACTGGGAACAGGAGAGCAAACGGCACGGCCATCTGAGCTGCCACAGTGTCCGCGCTCGTCGGGAGGAGGGTGCAGCCTTACCCTGCACCGCACACAAATCACTACTGATCTCTCACTCGCCAAGCCCGCTGCTGGGAGGATCTGAAAGCACTAAGCAGCGACTGTCGCTCTTCTCCTTTAATGGCCGATGTAAGTCTGTCTACATTTTTGAGCCCAACCTCTTTATCTGCGTGTTACACAGAGTCCTGTTTCCCAGAACACTAAAAGCAACACTACAGATCTTCATTATTTAAGGGGTCAAGCACACGAGAAAAAACTTTCCATTTCCGTGAGTGTTCCCCTCATCTTACAACGCTGGCCATGGGACACTCCCCCAAAGACGCACCCCCAAAGACACCGTGCTTTCAAAGGCAGACGACAAGCAAAGCACACACATCAGGTGAAAAGATTCACTTGTCACCGTCGGCCTTTCTGCGGCTGCTTCCTGGTTTGCCGCACACACACTGTATTTTCAAAAATACCCAAGTCAGTGTCAGCCATGGGGACGGAAACACTGATCAAACACCTGATGAAAGGTTATACACGCTTACCTCACAGATTATTTCTAAGCATCACTTGGACATTTTGTGCCTTTTCTTCAGGACCTTAAGATGCATACTTGTCCTATGTGATGGGATCTGAAAGATAACAAAATCTCATTAGAAAAGTTACGTATGACAGAAAAGCATACAACACCTCTTAGCGTATGATTAATTTCTGGAGTATATATAAGCAACAGACATTGCACACATAAAGTTCTGTCATTCAGAACTATATCCTTAACTACGAAATTACTGCCCTACTAAGTTTGCTCTTCTGAGACTGACAATCCTGGAAAGTAATTTGTTTTTACATGTGTCCCTTCTGCCTTCTGCTCTTTTAGCCACAGTGTTAATACAAATCCATAAGCCGAAGCCCCCCCAGGAAGATCCCCGGGGATAATCCACCCAAATCTGGCTGGCCTGCAGCTCCACCATCAATAAACCGGCTTACTATCCACAGTAAAGGAATCCCAGACACGTCGGGGGAGAGGCCCAGCGAGGCAGGAGGTGCGGGATGGAACTGCAGGCCCTGCTGCGAGAGGGAGCCAAGGGAGGGCTGGCTCCCGCTGAGAGCACAGACGCCCGGCTCTTCTCCCACGTGGCTTCCAGAACCGGGCAGGTGGGAGAGCAGAGAAATCCTCTCCTGAAGCACTAACATGGCCCACAAGTAAAGGTCTGAAGGCATCAAGATGCAGGGGAACTGCAACAAAAAGGTCAGATTCGCTGCCACACTTCCCCATGGCCAGGGCCACCAAGGGACACGCTACCAGAGGTTCTAAATGCTTGTCACAGCTCTGCCATAAAAACGAAGAAAGCCCAACACGTCTCATGAAAGACAGGGCCCAAAAAGGAAACGGGGGAAGAGGAGTCCAGAAGAGGCGCGACGCATGGAGAACTTTTCCCCGAACAGGCACCAGACTCTAATAAATACTCGTGAAAAAAGAGAAAAGACTCTGTCTGTGAAACAAAAGGAGGAACCTTCTGAGAACTTCCTATTAAAAAAATAAAAACACGATGGTAGAATTTTAAAGACAGTACTGGACAGTGGAGTGGTAGAAATTGCGAAGGAGACTGGGCCAAGAGGAAGCTAAGGAGAGACACAAATAAACGAGAGGCCAGGCGGGCGCCGCCTCCACACAGCGGAGCGCCGGGAGGGGCTCGGAGGGCGGGCAGCTCCGCGCTCGCGAGCACCCACCGGCCACTGCTGCTCCGCGGCCTGGTGGCTGGCGCGTTTGTATGTATATCAGCTTTCCGAGTGCTTTTCCTGCTCACGTAAACCCTCCGTTGCCGTGTGTGGTGTCAAACCGAGGGCCTGGCTATTCACCAGCAGGCTGGAGTTGGAGGGCACAGGGGACGGGGCCTGGGGGCACCATGAGGTGGACAGGGAGAGTTTCCCTGGCTTCTGCCGTCGAACACACGCTGGGTGCCTCCCCACGACCCACAGGCCCTCACTGTCTACCGCCTCAGGTGTGCCGTGCGGCCACCGTGAGATCCCTCTGGGCTCCCTGGGCAATCTTCTGTCCCAGGCCCTCAGCACACACGGACACACCAGTGGTTCCCTCACCTATTCCCTGCTCTGAGCGCCTTCTGAGCTTTTTAGTAGCAGGTGTGGCCAGCAAGCCCAAGCTGCTTAAACTAATGGAGGTGACTTTTTCAGTACAGTATTTATAAATAATAACTTTATTCAAATATCTATGCGATTGCTAACAACTTTAAATGCTTAATAATATTTTGAACTATTTTCCAATGAGCTTATCTTAGCAAAATTATAGAAAATCTAAAACTGGTTTGCAAAATACAGGACTGCCAACTACAGGTCTACGGCAGAATTTCTAGAATGACATCAAAGTCCTACTACTTTTATAATATAAATTTTAAAAAGTAACCAATACAACCACCACTTTGGAAAGTGGTCTGGCACTTTCTCAAAGTTAAACAAACACCTGCCCCATGACTCAAGGATTCTACTTCTAGATATTTAACCAAGAAAAAAAAAATACGAACACAAAAACTTGTACAAAACTGTTCATAGCAGCTTTATTCATAATATCCCCAAACTAGAAACAACTCAGATATCCACCCACAGGAGATAAATAGTGGTATATTCATACAATGGCATGCCTCTGCACAAAGGGGAAAATATTACTGATACAAGCACGAACATGGATAAATCTCAAACATACACTAAGTGAAAGAAGCCAGACAGACTATATACAGTGTGGTTCCACACGTACGGCACTCTAAACCAGGCACACTAACTTATTTTGAAAGACATGGAAGAAGGGTTCGAGCACAAGGGAAAATGACTGAGGAGAGGCCCAAGGTTACGTTCTGACTTGATGGGCATGCCCAGATCTTGAGAGGGAAGTAGGTTACACAGGCATATACATTTGTCAAAACAAAATTCAAGGAGCTGTTTTTGAAAATCCAATGAACTATATACTTAAAATTGTACATTTCATTGTATATCAATTATGCCTCAATAAAAACATGAGTAGAAAAAAAATATACCCAGCACAGGCACACACAGGTGTGAAAGTGGAAGGATGCAGCAAAAGGCAAGTCCTAGCTAGCTGCCAGGACAGTTTTCCTCCTATATAAACTGCATTCGTTGAGTCAAGACCCTGTCTTGGATTTACTTTTATCTGTAACTTCAAGTTTCATAAGCTCTTCTCCTGATTTTTCCTTGACAATAAACAGAAGATGTATTTCTCATAAACACACTGAAAACAAATAAGTAAACAAAAAGATAGCCGGGCGCGGTGGCTCACGCCTGTAATCCTAGCACTCTGGGAGGCCGAGCGGGAGGATTGCTTGAGGTCAGGAGTCCGAAACCAGCCCTGAGCAAGAGCGAGACCCCGTCTCTCTACTATAAATAGAAACAAATTAATTGGCAAACTGATATTATTATACAAAAATTAGCCGCCCCGCCAGGCGTGCGGCATGCTGTTTCCAGCTACTCGAGCAGCAGAGCGATCGCTTGACCCAGGAGTTGTAGGTTGGCTGAGCTAGCTGTGACGCCACGCACTCACTTCTTAGCCTGGGGCAAGACAAATTGGAGACTCTGTCTCAACAAAAAAAAAAAACAAACACAACACAACACAACAAAACAAAACAAAAAGTGTAGTATTCCTTGGTGATCAGTTACTACAAAAAAGAATCAAGATGTATTTAATAATGATTTTTATTATTGCAGTACTAAAAATGTCTACCCTAGCGTCTGATATTCATGTTTATAAACTGTTTAAAGTCATCACTGCTTTACTACTCATACACCCACTGAGGACCTATAACAAACAGAAGCAAGCAAATCTCTGTTGCAAGCACAGAAGAATTATGCAAAGCAGAATCAAACCCTGCAGTAGAGATCTACGAATTCAGACGCAGGGCGAGGTGTGTCCAGCACTCTCTCTGCGGCAAACCCCAGCCGCGGGTTGAGCTCACTGAAGCCCACAAAACAGCCAAGCAGGAGTCAGGCCTTGTGAATAATGTGCTAAATGCTGTCCCCAAATCAGAAGCAAAGTGTGATAAGGGAGAGGGATGACAACAGCTAATTGTGTTTGGAGGAACCAATGAAGTGTCAATAAAGATGACGGCAGGCAGGGGCCCCTGCCGGAGCAGCAAGGTGTGGGCAATGAGGGAGAACAATAGTGTGAGACAGTGCCCAGGGGCAGGAGAAGAGATACAGCATGCCAGTGGGAAGTGACCAAAAGGACGAGACTGGGGTCCTCTAAAACAGTACTCTGACTGCCACTCCAAGGAGTCTGGAATTCTGGACTTCCTCTGCTAGAATGGGAAGCACCAAACCTTAGGTAAATGGGCAGATGGTTTAAAAGGTAACTGGTGGCGCCTACAATCCCAGCTATGCAGGAGGCCAAGGCAAAAGGATTACCTGAAGCCAGGAGTTCGAGACCAGCCTGGGCAACATGGTGAGACTCTCTCTCTAAAAAAGCAAAAAAAATTTAGCCGGGATACTTAAACCTGGCAGGGGAGATACCATGATCACAAAGGTGGTTTTCCCAGGGTGAGGCTTATCCATTGCACTCTGGGTGTGCTGACCCCTTTTCAATCAATTAATTAATTTATAAAAATTAAATTAAATTTAAACATAAAAAATAAAGCTTAGCTGGGAGCAGTGGCACATGCCTGGGCTTGAGCCCAGGAGTTGGAGGCTGCAGTGAGCTACAATCATGTCACTGCACTCCAGCCTGGGTGACTGAGCTCTGCCTCAAAATAAAAGGTAAATGGTAACTAGCAACAACATGAGACGAGGCTGGCAGGAGGAGGACTGGCACCCAGGAGCTGACTGCCTCCCATCACACAGTGCAGAGCTGACAGGGCCAGGGATACAAGGGCAGCAGGGCCTGAAGAGGCCGGGGCGGCTGAGAGAAGCAATGCGGTGACAAGCAGGAGCCCTGGGAAGCATGTCTGCCCCAGGTTAACACTCTTCGAGAACGTGGTGAGATTGAGACTCACCAAGTATTGAGGTATCTGCAGGTTAAGCAGAGCTGACCCAGGACGAGAGGCCCCAGTGCAGAGCTGACAGGCGAAGGGGGAAGGGATAAGCCCACCCAAGGGAGCAGAGACCCTGGGGGACAGACATTAAAGGAAGGAAGCTGGCCAGGGCATTAAGGGAAGGCGAGGGTGGGGGCGAGCGAGCCAGGAAGGCTGGAGCTGTCAACCACCCAGACGAAGCCAATCGGATCACCTCAGACCTTCACTGGCAGTTTCAGTAAAGAGCCACAAGCCTGGGAGACTGAGTGCTGAGAACATTAGAGAAGCACATTTTTTAAACTGCAGTTAAATGATGGACATCTGTAGCTAAAGGGAAAAGTGGAGGAGAATACTTTCACGTTCGTCGCAAGAGTGGTTAACCCGGGGCAGACATGCTTCCCAGGGTCCTGCTTGTCACCGCATTGCTTCTCTTAGCCGCCCCGGCCTCTTCAGGCCCTGCTGCCCTGGTATCCCCGGCCCTGTCAGCTCTGCACTGTGTGATGGGGGCAGTCAGCTCTGGGTGCCAGTCCTCCTCCTGCCAGCCTCGTCTCATGTTGTTGCTAGTTACCATTTACCTTTTATTTTGAGCAGAGCTCAGTCACCACAGGCTGGAGTGCAGTGACATGATTGTAGCTCACTGCAGCCTCACC